TTTCTCCCTTCCTGACTAGTCTGCAATTGGAAAATAATGGTGAGCATTCTTATTTTGTGGCAGAATCATTATCTGCATAAGGTCAATAAACAATAGTATCTGATGCCTTACATCAGAAATTAAATTCTTATGGGGCTTTGTGCAAATAACAGACCAAATTGATACTAAATTTTTTTTCCAAATAAGTTAGTTTATACCTCTCTTTAGTAAAAGGTATGATATGGAGAGAGAAAAAAAAATGTTTCACAAGAAAACCACAGTGCACTGGTCACTAGATTTTAGTTTTGTTCATATTTTTAGCTTAATTAAAATCTTTACTCAAGGAGCCCAGCAGTTGGCGTAATGGCTATGTCACTGGACTCTCATGTAGTCGACTGTGGCTTGAGTCCCAGACCCGGTGGCTTAAACTCATGCTTGGTGCGTGTGCATACGCACCCAAGATCCTGAGAGGAGAATGGAGGAGAAGGGATTGTGGTGTGGCCATCCCTCCTGGGAGGGGGTGATTTCTTGCTTTCTGTATCTCTGTCTCTCTTTCTTTCTGGCTAGTGCATGCACCCTATGGTAAAAACATCTCCCCCCTCCAAAAAAAAAAGATCTTTAGTCAATTAATAAAAAATGAAAAAAAAGTTTACTGTGGAAGGGAGGAGAAAGGGGAAAGGGGAAGACAAAAAGTAAAAGATCGTTTAATTGACAAAAAGTGAGAAGTTATTTTCTGATGATAATATATATAGTAATATCTTTGCTTTGACTATATGAATGGTATTTGTGCTGGAAAAATAAATGTTGTACACTATAGAGAGATATGTGATTATATGTAAATAAGTTTAAAAAGTAATTTTTTAATAGAAGAATACAAATATTTCTCAAATTGTGTGAGCTCTGTATATTTTAGCTTCCAATACTTCTGATATTTCTTTCCAGGCTTTGAGAAGTTTTTCTTCATGCATTTGTGATTTAATATTCATCAGGAGACCCAACAGAGGATATCTATGGAGGTTTCTGGAGGTTTTCTTTGCCATAACTGCCTCTTCTCTGATTGTATGTCTTGCAAATTCTAGTAACTTAACCTTTATAAACTCTGACCTTGCTTTGTTCAACTCAGTGAGACTGCAATGGTTTACTTAGTTTGGGTCCAGAAAGTCCTCCATGTTTAAAGTCAAGAATAACATGGGCCCTTGTTTGTTTTCCTTCTCTCAAAGAACAAATTTAGTCACTTGTTTTTCAATATTTGCATGTAATTGTCTTATACGTTTTGTTCAGTTTCCATTCACTTGTTTGTTTTTATTAGAGAGAGAGCAAAGTTCCAGTTAGTCTCTTTCTTGCTCTCTATAAGAATTATTAAAAACATAGATATAAACATATGAATACAACTTATTGTTATGCTTATTTAATGACTGCTTGACTTTCACCTTGTTTTGCATTATGAATTAATGTATACTTTCATAATGAAGTTTCTGATCCCTGTTCTCTGCACACTTTTAGCAGTGCAACTGGTAAGTATCTTTAAAAATAGCAGTTTTAAAAATGTATATAGGCCCAGTCAAGGTGGTGTGGTTGTTAGGGCACATCTACATTACGCTGGGGCCATATGGGAAGACCTCTGGTTGATGTCATGGGTCAGTATGAATGCCTTTGGTCCTGGTTGCTAGCAGGCTCAGAGGTTAGGGTTTGTATCATGGTGAGACCCTGCCAGAAGTGATGCTGTCAATGTCTCACTTTTGCTTTCTCTCAGGAAATAGATAAACTTAGAGTCATTTGCATTAATTAGATGATAGGGTTTTTTTTTTTTTTTAATTTTCTGGAGAGATTTTTACTATGTGCACTCACCAGAGAGACAGAGAGAGAGAGAAGGTGAGAAATTACCCCCTGGGGGGGGATGGCCATGCTGTAATTCCTTCTTCATTCTTGTCTCAGGGTTTTTGGCACACACACTCATGTGCATGGCATGAGTTTCAAGCCTCCAAATAGGAAATTTAAACCACAGTTAGCCATGTGGGAATCTAGTGATGTAACCATGATGCCATTTGATGGTCCCATAGATGATAGCTTTTAACGTTTCATTTTAAAAATTATCTTGCCATAAGATGAGTGGTTGATTGTTTTCTAAAATTTGGCTTCACATTTTTATTTTAGAACAATGATTAGATTTAAAAAGCTCAAGGATAATGAAAAAATTCAACCTGATAGCCACTATAAATATAGTTAGCACATATGCATTATGTTAAATTTTTGATTGTCATATTTTTTTTCCTTAGGCTGAAATCTGGCCACTGATAAATAGATCTAATAAATATGTGCTTGGTGTATAAGTATAGCAAGTAGGGACAACCAAGTAATTTCCTAATGTCGTTGAATCTAATTGGAACTATCTTGTGTGATAGACAAGATAGTTCCAATGCATCAAATGCATCAAATGGCTAAGTAAATTTCAGGGACATTCTTATTTTAAGTCTTTATTTTATGGTTTTCCTTTATGTAAGGCAAAATGGGTCACAATCTAGTTTTCCAGATTACCAATAAATGTCTTCCTATGTGAGATTAAGCTTTATATAATCTTATTTTGATTAATGTTTATAGAACCAAATCTTTTATTCAAATTATGTTATGTGGAATATGGGTGTATCTATACTGAATTTGACTGAAGTATTTTTCCTTTTCTTAAAAGATAGAATTCATCTGTAGAAAACATATATTTTTCTTGAAAGATCAGCAGAAATAGCCTCATGCTATATTTTAAGAGATAAAAGAAGACTGCCTGTAATTCCCTGATTTAGGATTTAGAGATTAGTTGTGGAGCAAATAGGAACTGAACTTCCTTCAATTTTAAATAATTTATATGATAAATCGCTCTATGTATATTGCTTAATCCTCATGACTGTGAGGAAATCCCAGCCTTATCAGTGGTGATTGTTAGAACTGGCTAAACTTCAGTGCATCTTTAAAACTCTTTCTTGAAAATTTTAAGTTTTAAAGACCAGATTCTATTTTTCTAGAAAAATGTAAAGTTTGGGTCAGCAGGTGGTATGGTGGTTAAGGTGCTGAACTCCCACATGGCTGATCATGATACGAATCCCAGACCTAGTGAAAATCATGCCGGGCATGTTGTCCATGCATACTCCGTACCCCAAATCCCAACAGGCAAATGGAGGAGAAGGGATTGCAGCATAGCTATCCCACCTAGGTGGATATTTTTCACTTTTCCTTTCTCTGTCTCTCTCTGGTGAGCACCTGCACCCTATAGCAAAAACCTTAAAAAATACCCTCCAAACTCTCTCTCTCTCTCTCTCTCTCTCCTCTCTCTCTCTTTCTCTCTCTCTCTAAACATATGTTTAGATCTATCTGTCTATATATCTATCTATCATCTATCTATTTATCATCTATCTATCTATCTATCTATCTATCTGTCTATAAACTCTTAACCATGGAAGTGTTTAATTAAAAACTAAATAAGTTATTTTTTCTTTCCCTGTTTGCTAGCTATGCTATTACAGTTGATAACTGTGATGAGGTATCCACTGGTAGTATAATTACAAAATGATCAGAACTGTGTTCACTCAGAGACTTAGTTTCTCTGGCTCTGATAATTCTGTTTTCTAGTAGGCTTCACTTCCCTTTCCTTCTGGGTACAATGCTATTTCCGCTTGTAGCCAAGTCAGATGGAATTGGTAGACATTCTTAAGAGTTTTTTTTTTTTTTTTAAACATAATGTTACTAATTATGAAAATGTTACTAAGGGACCAGCAGTTGTTGTAATGGCTATGTCGCTGGACTCCCACGGAGTTGACCACGGTTTGTGTCCTGGACCTGGTGGCTTGAATCTCACGCTGGGCGTGTGTGCGTGCGTGCCCCAGATCCCGAGAGGAGAACGGAGGAGAAGGGATTGAGGAGTGGCCATCCCCCCTGGGGGGTGATTTCTCTCTTTCTGTCTCTCTGTCTTTCTCTGTCTGTCTGGCGAGCGCACGCACCCTATAGCAAAAACCTCTAACAACAACAAAAAAAAATGTTACTAAGATAAAACAGTAATATAGAAACATATCTATAGGAAACAGATTTTATATAAAATATATAATAAACTAAGTGACTCCTATTAAGTTTCATAAATAGGCCTTATCTAAGCATATCCCATTCGTCAATATGTTGACATTTAAGAATCAACTATCAGGAGCTACTTTCAACTTCGTATACAATCTAATGATGATATTCCTTTCTAAATTAAAAAAAAATTAATCATGCTTTTACCAATTGTGCAGCAACCTTCAGTGGTTCCACAGCATGATTGTTTGTTTGTTTAATATTAATAATGAAACATCTTCATTTTAACATAATTCCTTTTGCTCTAAAGAACATATGGTATATATGATGTTCATGTCATTCATCCAATATAAGGTAAAGGGCAATCACTTAGATCTTGGGTAATATAACAGAAAAAGTTAAGTTTTAGTCAGTGACAGGATGAATGCACATATATAATAAGTAAATATATGTGTGTGTGTGTTGAGTATATATACATATATGAAAGATTGACTTATACATTATAATTGTACTAGTAAGATATATATAGTATTGAAGTTGTCAGAAAATTTGTGATGCATTTTTCCATAGAAAAATACATCATGACTTTTCTGATAACCCAATATGTAATGTAAGCTAAGCTAACATTTTTCTTTCAAATCTGACTTCTGTTTGAAATAGAAAATAGCCATTGGTAAAAATTACAGATAATGATTTTATTAAAGCTCTAAAAGTGAACTAAAAGTTTCAATTCCTGAATCTCAAGAACCATTTAAATTCAGTGTTATGCCCATAATTTCCTGAGATCTAGAAAAACGTTTGGTGTTTCTACTTCACAGATAGAATTAGAATATATTACCCACATATGTAACTCCATCATTGTCACAATTTTCTATAATTTTTTTCCTTTCCTTACCCTAATGTTCTAGAGATCTCAATTTCATGGTATTATTTTATCCTAATAGATAACAAAGGAGAAATCTACTTACAGCCAATCAACATGACACAAATCGAAAAGATTTTCTCTGAATTGGTGTTAGGAGACACATTCCCGAATCCTACACTGGTTAAACTGCTGAAGGTAAAATAAAGTGCTGTGACGTATTTGTCCTTAATAGATGGTCCAGAACTTGAGTCACTGTCATTGTAACGTTTGCCAATCTGTTGTCCTAAGGAATCCAGCCATCCAATTTTGTCAGTCAGATATGGTCTTTCTACATTCCCAATTGCATACCAAATGCAAGCCAGCCAGTGAGCAATCAGGGCAAATATGCACATTAAAAGCATTAAAACAGCAGCGCCATATTCTGAATAGCGATCCAGTTTCCTTGCCACTCGGACAAGACGAAGGAGTCGAGCAGTCTTCAAAAGACCAATTAATGTTGTTGTCTGTGAAAATAAACGTGTATGGTCAGAAACAGTGGGTCAACAATTCATACTATGTTCATGTGAAGCAAAGTAGGCGGAAACAGCTTAAAACCACATGGTAACATTGAAGACATTGTGGTAACCTTGAAGACAACCGTATCTTTGAATTAAGTGTTAAGGTTAGTTATTTTTAAAAATTTTAATACCTGCTTTGGAATATTCTTGGAAAGTTTACAATGTGTTAATTCAGTATTTGACAGGCAAAGTTCACAGGAGAGAGAATCTGTCTTGTTTTAAGCTCAGTCCAAATATTTGGTACATAATGTGAACTCAGTAATTAACTCATTCATCCAAAATCATCCCAGTGTATTATCGTGTTCCTATCAAGTGCCACACACTAGGATTAGGGGGTCGAACAAGCAGGCCTGGCCATTCTGATACAGAAAAATAGCTGTTTAATATGCAAAGTGATTCTCTGCTAAAGAGAAAAAAAATCTATCATCTATGGGGAAGTAATAGACATTTTAAACTTAAAAAACAATAATTTCAGAAAGGGAAGTTGTGATAATGATATTAAACAGAGTAATAATATAAAGGCTATTTGGGGTCATGAGTTGGAGTAGAGACAATTTTAGAAAGAAAATTCGAGAAAAGCTTGGGGAAGAAAAGACATTTGAGTTGGGAAAGACATGGAGAATGGGAAGGAGCCACCAAGCTCCCCTTTCTAATAACTCAAGGAACACCTCTTAGATGATTGTGTGCATGAAGTAGGCATTCTATTTAAATGCAGTTTTTTTCTTTTTTTTTTTTCCTGTATAAAATTGATAAATTGTTTCTTGACATACTGATGATATTACATTTGCATTTTGCTTTGGGGTATAATATGTGTAACTAATTGCATGATTATTACTGACCAGGTATCTAATGATAGGATACTTCTGTATAATAACAGGATACTTAACTGGTTATTTGGACTTGAAATCTGATAAGTACGAATTAGAAGTTCATTTCTTAGGTTTCTTAAATAATGTCAACTATTAGTACTATATAATTCACAGGGCATATAATTATTCCATAGTTACATGGTGTTTACCAATCAATTATCGAGTCATTTTATCTGTTCATTGTTGGTGTTTATTTCACAAAGTACATTCAGCCATGTTAAGAACACTTATATCTTAACTGAATAAAATAGGACATGAGTAACTATGAGTTAGGAGTTAGATCCCATTAGTAGGTAGACAGAGGAGGGGGTCCCCATAACGAAGTTACTGTGGTTTTTGCTTTCTATGGCCCTGTGAATGTTCTCTATGCATCCATTATAAGTCTCAGAAGGAATTAGGACTCCCTGTTGCTGGGCTAAAATCAGACGAAAATCAGTCACAGTCCAGGCCACGAAGATAAGGAAATCTCCATCATTAACTACAACACAGAGTCCTCTGGCCCCTTCCAGCGACTAAGATTAATTTAAGACTCCAGGTGTCAACGCCATGGACTAATAGCTTATTTTAAAGAGAATTACGTTTTTCTTCTTTGTCAGGATCCTATTTAAATAAAATTTGGCCCATCTACAGCAACCCAGTTGGGCCCTCTTCCATGGTATAGAAGCTTTTCCTCCTTGGATTTTAAACTCTGCTTGATATCCCCTCCACTTGTCCACATTTATCATTTTTTCGGTACATTGGGCAAGAGCCAGTCGGGTGCTAGGTGTGGTCACCCCCACACCCTCATGTCACCACCATTGTATATCTATTGGGCTGTCAGAAAAGTCCCATTGTATTTTTTCTATGCAAAAATGCATCATGATTTTTCCAACGACCCAATATTAATATTGACTTGGTGAAAAAATAAACACTAAATAGCAAGATAAACCTTTCCTTTAAAATGTTAACCATAGGGACCAGCAGATGGTGTAACGGCTATGTCATTGGATTCCCATGTAGTAGACCACGGTTCAAGTCCCGGACCTGGTGGCTTGAACTCATGCCAGGTGTGTGTGCATGTGCGTGCATGCCCCAGATCTCAAGAGGAGAATAGAGGAGAAGGGACTGTGGTGTGGCTATCCCCCTTGGGAGCTGATTTCTCTCTCTGTTTCTGGTGAGTTGATGCACCCTTTAACAAAAACCTCTCCGCCCCTCCCCCCCAAAATGTTAACAATAATTTTTCTAGTATTTTTTTGTTTACTTTTTTTCTTATACCATAGTGGTCCCACATGAAGGGAGAGCCCTCAGTCCTTACTCACTTCTCAGTACTGGGGCCCCTTGGAAATGAGAGAAATTTCTGTAGTTGCTATGTACTCATCCAACTGGACTCTGGTATTGCTCATGTGGGGGTTGTGTAAAAGAGAGTCTCTTCTGTTTCCAATGCTGAGTTATTATTTTTCACTGTGTAATGGAGATAATAGTTTTTTTTTCTCCTTCAAGGATTTAAAATGCTATCTTCTCTCAATTAGTGAATAGATGATTTAATTAGTATTACAGGTTCCCTGGGAGAAAGAAAAAAGAATCCACTATTTGTATTATCAGTAATTTAACTTACATTTATGTGCTAGGTCATTGGAACAGACAAATCATGTTTGAATTCTGCTTCCATACCAGGTGTCAGTTTGGGACATGTTATTGATTTAATCCCAGGGTTTGGTTTAATCATCCATAAATTAGAACACTAATGCCTACCTTAAGGGTTGAAGATAATATCCGATACATGATAGCTCTTTAGGCTTATATTTAAACCCCCCTTACATATTTGTTTCCACCACCAAGCCAATTTTTGTTGTGAAATGGGTGGAAAGCACTTCCACACTTCCACATACATTCCTTAGATAACAGGCATCCCAAGTAGAGGCATTTCAACACCGTCCTTGGAACCCCCTCAGGAAATGGCAGAGATATTGAGAGACAAGAACTTAATTTTAGAAGCAATCAGACTTGGACAACAGAAATCACACTGGCTCAAGTTTCATCATTTCTTCATAGCTCGGTATCTGCTATTTTTTTCCCTCTGAATGCTGCTGCCTATTTATTTGTATTGAGAAATCAGAAATATTTTAAGATCATTATTACTGTCTTCTCATATTTGACACAAAAACTTTTACTCTAAACATCCAAACAATGAAGTATAATGAAAATTCTCTAGATATTTTGTTAAATAAAGCAAATGTTCGAAACAAATAAACCTTTTTAATAACATGTTGTGATAATATGGCCTGATGACCTCTTTGGCTATAAGGATCTCAGGGTAAAAATGATTCTGTGGCAAGATGAGAAGTCAAATCTGCTGGGTATGACATCTCTTCCTTTTGCCATCCCCCATGACCCTCCAAAAAATCCTGATGTTTCTTCTAACTTTATATCAAACTGAAGATAAAATCTGTATGGCGGTATGTTTTATAGGCAGATTAATCAAGGTAATTTACAGAGTAACACACAAGTGACATCTTTACTGAGTGAAAAAAAACTTTTAAAATATAGCACAGGATAAACTCTCAGTGTAATTGACATTATTCACACAAAATATTTGCAAAAGGGAATGGAGAGAGAGACAGAAAGAGAGGGAAGAGAAAAGGAGGAGAAAGAGAAAGAGATAAAAGATTACAAAATGGTTATTTATCTCTCAGTTGCATCATGAGGATGAATGAATATTGACTGCAATAGTCAAGCTATTCTCCTGTGATTCTGTAGCATGTACCCAAGTGTAACTGTGTGAGCTAGTTTGACAAGGTAACAAATGCTTTGGCCTCATTTCTATTATAACCAAGTTGTTGCTAATACACCTGGGCATTCTTTCTTAGCCACAGTGTGTACAGCACAGTTTATAGATCATGTTTAGGACTAAGATCACACTTTTCTTCCTCTTCTTATTTAAATATCTCCTTAGATACATAAGGTGTCTTGTCTCATATTTCAGGAAGAAAGAAGTAACTGTATCAAAATTTCTGAGAGAATAAGATTATCAATTTCCTCTTATTTATTCGAGATAGTTAGTCTCATTCTTTAGTTTAATGAACTATTTTTTTTATTACCTTCAAGTTAAAAAGGAGACCTAGAATTACCTTTTAATATTGCATTAATCTCAGAATTTCACTGAGTACAATTGTTCTTAGAATGTATGGTTGTAGCATATTTAATTATATAGGCGTATTGTAGAAATCTACTTTTATATTTTCAAGTTTTGAGATGATAAATATAATAGACAAAACTATAAATAAATATGATAAATAAAACTATAAACAAATCCATTCACCACAATTTAAAAATAACAGTAGCAAAGAATGTTCTCTTACTTGTTTTTTATTGAGCTTTTCATTGATACCAGAAAAATACTGTCAGCTTATTGTCACTCCTGGTAGAGACCAAAAAGCATAAAAGCTCACTAAATGGCAAAGTAAATTCACTTTTATACAATATAAATACAATAATAGAAACAGGATATTTTAAAAGGTGAGTGATTGTATAGTAGGTTGAAGCAAGGTCCTTTGTTTCCTAGTCCTACCCATGAACTATAGCAAATGGGACATAATCCTAACAAGTCAGGTCCCTACCTCACCAGTACCCATGACATCTCAGAACCAAGTGCATTGGTTGTGAATGAATATTTTAAAGTCTTTTGTCAGAATGTAACAGTAAACAAAGTCTACTTATTTAAGACTTATTTTGAATCAGTTTTGCCAGTAGTGTGTGTGTGTATGTGTATGTATGTGTGTGTGTAAAATGACTCTTCTTTCAGAATTTATTATCCCTATCTCTGTGTGGCTTACAGAGATGCAATTTCAATTTTTAAAGATGTATCTATCAATAATTTATTAAAAGCCCTAGATATCTTCTTATATCAAAGAAAGAGTTAGTTTTTTAAATTTTTTTTCAAGTTTGTCAGAGGGAACCAGAGTTGGTGTGGTGGTTAAGGTGTTGGATAATCCCACATGGCTGACTGTGGTTATAATCTCAGACCTGGTGGCTTGTCATCTCACTTTCTCTCTCTCCCTTTGTTCCTCTCTCTGGTCAAATTAAAAATAAATGAATAAA